GTGTGTGTTTCAGCACGGCTGGGGGGTTTCGGCCCTCAGCTATTTTCTTTGGAGTAATATGGCCCTCGCCGCTTTACGAGTTGTGCAGGCCTGCTATAGACTTATGTCTGTATAACTAAATCGCTCAGAGGTGTGGATTTTCCATACTCCCGAGTGATTTAGTTGTACTGACTGACATAAGTCTGTAGTGTAGACCAGGGCTAAAAGTTAGGTGCTGGGATGCTCAGCATCACAACGCCTAAGGCCATGTCTACACGAGCGCTTATGTCGGCAAAATTTTTGTCACTCAGCGGTGTAAAAAACCAACAACAACACACTCTTGAGCAACATAAGTTTTGCTGGGATAAGTGTTCGTGTGCACAGCACTATGTCAGCAGGAGACGCTCTCCTGTCAACATAGCTGCTGCCACTCGGTGAGCTGGTTTTATTATGTCGACAGGGGAGCTCTCTCACATCAGCATAATGAGGTTACACGAGCGCTAGCTTGTAAGTGTAGACATGGCCTTAGTCCCGACATGGATCAGGGCCCCTCTCTGTAAATCAGAAGTGAACCAAAGCCTCAGCAATGCTGATAGGAGAAAAAGTAAAGTATATGATATTCTTTCCATGGAAACTTACTAATGTGAAACTTGATTAAAGTGACCAGTGTCTGGTTATTTGGCTACCTTTTCTTATTTGTGCTAATACCTAATTCACTAAGTTAATTAATGTTTGTACAATACAGCCTCTTCTGCTATATTGGTTGTGCATTCTGTTTACCTTTATTATGCAATCAATTTGCAACAATATTTCTATTGTTACCTAAGCATATCTAAGCTTTTTTTTTTTAGTACTCAGAAATAAAATTTCTGAAGTTCTGACCACCTATGGTCATTAAAAAATGCCATAGCATTTTCTCCAGGAGAGTAGGAGTGTTAACCCTGGTAAAATTCCAACTCTTGTATTTACATCCTGGCCTACTGTACCTAAATCTCTCCCATAGTGACAATTAGATAAATTATTCTTCATTTCTTGTCCTAAATTGTTTTGTAGTTTGACTGGCACTGGTAAACATGCCACATTCTTCCCCATAGTTGGCTTTATTTTAGAAATAGGTAAAATTATTATTTATACTTATACATACACACGCACCCCTCCCTAGCCCCCCCTAGATCAATGTTAAAAAGAAGCATTTGCCGTATTGTTATAAGCCCTGATTCAGCAAAACACTCAAGTGATTTGGAAGCCTACTTTGGCCATCTCCGACTCAAGGAATATTTTCCACACACCACTGAACAGAGCATTGACCCACAGGAACCCTCCTACCAATGCTACAAGAAGAAGAATTCTGCGTGGACTCCTCCTGACGGTCGAAATGACAGACTGGACTTCTACATAGAGTGCTTCCGCAGACGTGCACAGGCTGAAATTGTGAACAAACAGCATCACTTGCCCCATAACCTCAGCTGCACAGAACGCAACACCATCCACAGCCTCAGAAACAACTCTGGCATTATAATCAAAAGGACTGACAGAGGAGGTGCTGTAGTCATCATGAACAGGTCAGATTATGAACAGGAGGCTTCCAGACAACTCTCCAACACCACATTCTACAGACCACTATCCTCCGATCCCACTGAGGAGTACCAAAAGAAACTACACCATCTGCTCAAGAAACTCCTTGCTACAGCACGGGAACAAATCTACACAGACACACCCCTAAAGCTTCGACCCAGGGGTATTCTATCTGCTACCCAAGATCTATAAACCTCGAAATCCTGGACACCCCAGCATCTCAGGCACTGGCACTCTTACAGCAGGATTATCTGGCTATTTGGACTGTCTCCTCAGACCCTACGCTACCAGCACTCCTAGCTATCTTTGAGACACCACTGACTTCCTGAGGAAACTACAATGCATTGGTGATCTTCCTGAAAACACCATCCTGGCCACCATGGATGTAGAAGCCCTTTACACCAATATTCCACACGAGGATGGACTGCAAGCTGTCAGGAACAGTATCCCTGATGAGGCCACGGCACACCTGGTGGTTGAGCTTTATGACTTTGTCCTCACCCACAACCATTTCAGATTTGGAGACAACTTATACCTTCAAGTCAGCGGCACTGCTATGGGTACCCGCATGGCCCCACCGTATGCCAACATTTTTATGGCTGACTTAGAACAACGCTTCCTCAGCTCTCGTCCCCTAACGCCCCCTCCTCTACTTACACTACATTGATGACATCTTCATCATATGGACCCACGGGAAGGGAGGCCCTTGAATTCCACCTGGATTTCAACAATATCCACCCCACCATCAACCTATGCCTGGACCAGTCCACACAAGAGATCCACTTCCTGGACACTACAGTGAAAATAAGTGATGGTCATATAAACACCACCCTATACCGGAAACCTATTGACCGCTATACATACCTACATACCTCCAGCTTCCATCCAGGACACATCACATGATCCATTATCTACAGCCAAGCCCTAGAATACAACTGCATTTGCTCCAATCCCTCAGACAGAGACAAACACCTACAAGATCTCTATCAAGCATTCTTAAAACTACAATACACACCTGGGGAAGTGAGGAAACAGATTGACAGAGCAAGACTGGTACCCAGAAGTCACCTACTACAGCACAGGCCCAACAAGGAAAATAACAGAACACCACTGGCCATCACATACAGTCCCCAGCTAAAACCTCTCCAGCACATCATCAACGATCTACAACCTATCCTGGAAAACGATCCCCCACTCTCACAGGCCTTGGGAGGCAGGCCGGCCAATCCTTGCTTACAGACAGCCCCCCAACCTGAAGCAAATACTCACCAGCAACTACACACCACACCACAGAAACACTAACGCAGGAACCAATCCCTGTAACAAACCCCATTGCCTACTCTGTCCCCATATCTACTCTAGTGACACCATCATAGGAACCAACCACACCAGCCACACCATCATAGGCTCATTCATCTGCACATCTACTAATGTGATATATGCCATCATGTGCCAGCAATGTCCCTCTGCCATGTACATTGGCCAAACCGGACAGTCTCTACATAAAAGGATAAATGGACACAAATCAGACATCAGGAATGATAACATACAAAAACCAGTAGGAGAACACTTCAGTCTCCCTGGACACTCAATAACAGATTTAAAAGTAGCCATTCTTCAACAAAAAAACTTCAAAAACAGATTTCAAAGAGAAACTGCTGAGCTACAATTCATTTGCAAACTTAACACCATCAATATGGTGGCTTGAATAGGGACTGGGAGTGGCTGGCTCACTACAAAAGCAATTTTTCCTCTCTTGGTATTGACACCTCCTCATCAATTATTGGGAGTGGACCACATCGACCCTGACTAAATTGGCCTTCAACATTGGTTTTCCACTTGTAAGGTGGAAATCCCTTCTCTTCGTGTGCCAATATATATTTATGCCTGTATCTGTAATTTTCACTCTATGCATCTGAAGTAGTGGGTTTTTTACCCACGAAAGCTTCTGCCCAAATAAATCTGTTAG